TTAAGCAGGAGCTCAGAAAAGTAATGTCTTGGAAAAAGCCAAGTTCCTTAAATAAATCTTCGCAATTTCACTGTTACTGGACTTACTAAAATCAAATGAAACTCGATAATTTTTCGCAGGTAAAAAATAAAGCACGAAAGACGCTCTAAAGTTGCGCGAATTTCACGAGAAAGTGCAAAGTTGCGTCCATACATTCTGAACGTTTTTATTTGCTGCCTTCATCAGGAATTTCAGGAAAGCATTTTTGAAACTGGTTAGTTTTTCACAAGTGAAGACGTCGAGCGATATGTGAAACTTTGTGTCTCAACTACAAAATTTGCTCGAAACTTGACAAGTTTTTCGTTCTAAATAAGTCGCTTGTGTACATTGTGAAAGTTTCCATTTCCAAATTCTAGAGATAATTTTCAAAAAAAACATTTTTTTTCAAATTTTTCACAAGCAAATTGACTGCTGATCTGTCGCATCAAGGAACATTCGTATCTGAATCACTCTAATTGAGCTGGAAATTTCAGGAAAATTTTATTGGAAATAAATGATTATTTTCATTAATCATCATCAATCTGAATGTTTCAATTTGTCACCGTCATTTTACACCCAGAATTTTATTAGAAAGTGAAATTACTGTGCTTTCATCATCGGGGACACAAAATCGATAATGGTTAATTTTTTATGTAAAAGTGTCGATAAGTTGAAACAGTTTCCCCAAAAATGTATCTATCATGGAGCAAAATTTATTTTCCTCGGAAACCGAATAAGCGTATTGTTTTTTACGGCCAACTAAAGAAGTCACATTGAAACAACTTTTTCTCGAAAAATCCTGGTCAAATTGTCCGGAGGATGAAACAATTATCCAGACTACTCATACATTGAAAAACTTAGGAGAAACAGATACGAATAAAAAAAATCTAAATGGTGCTGTTAAATGAAAGATTGGAGATCTAAACCTATTTAAAAACATGCTAACTTTGAAGCTTCTTATATTGCTGTCGGTAGGCAGATAAGCTGGCAAAAGAGTAAACAGTCGCCCTAAATATAGAAACTGTTAACGAGAAACGCGTAAGGGTGTATCCTAAAAATGACGAAGGGTAAATTCGACCCTGCTCAATGTAAAAGAGATGAAAGTGACACGTGCCACCCCAACTGTTTTCAATAATTAAGATCGCTAACGCGTTTTTCGAAACCAAAAATAAAAAAAAACTCCAGAGGAATGTTGAGTTAAAAATCTAAGCAGCTGGGTTTTAGGTCAAACAACCCCGGCCTCTAATCGAGGTTGAAGGTCGATAATTTAACTGCAATTGTTAGGGAGCAGTCATCTGGAATTTTTTTCATTAGGGTCGATTATACGCCACAATGGCTCGATAAAGATTCAATTGCTTTGAATAAAGAGGCGTGTTTTGCATCCCCTATTCCATGCATGTCCGGCAATGAGGAAAGAAACTTTGGATTATTTATTAGAATTATTGTTTGAAGGTACTTTTGTCCAACTATTTGCCTGCTTTATTTCTCTATTTAATTTCAGTTTTTTGCAAGCTTTCGTTTACAGAAATTGTATTTGTTTTACCTACAAGAAACTTTCAAGAAAAACTACAATTACCGATTTCGCAAAATCCCCCTGGAACTTTAAACTTGCCAATAAAATTTGACTGTATAAAACCGGTTCATTTAGATTTTTTAAAGTTGACAAAGACGAAAACACTTTTCCTTTGCAAACAATTTTTTGCAGCATCTTCGTTAATTCGAATGATTCCCAACAGTTTAAGCGTCGAACATTTCATTCACATTTAAAAAACTTAATGGTTACGTCTTTAAAGTATATGATTTTAAGCCAGTGAGTGAAATAAAACTGATTTTCCATTCAGGGACGTAACTGGACGCGGTGGTTTCACTCGCACCCATAATAGTCTGTAAGAGATGCAAAATGTTCGGGGCGTTGCTGCGTTCCAACCTGCTACTTTAGCGTCTTAAATTTAACTCACCGGAACACGCTGAAGATTGAAGCAATGCGTGTTAGCGAAACGTCGGAACCAAATGCGTTTGGACGTATGACGACAAATGCGTAATRACCGAAAATTCCGCTTACTTTAAAAATTTCATAAAAATMATTTGTTGCACTGGTTTTGTTCTTTTACCCAGCCCCATAAGCCATGCACGAAACCCTGAATTTGCCTATACAAAAAAGCAAAGTCTTAGTTGCCTTATAGTGTTTTGCTTTTGAGTCAAGACTATAAAATAAATCACATTGATAAGCGCTTTTATCTGCGCTACACGCATTTTTACACACTTTTAAATTGCCTTGTTTTCAGTTAGATAAAGCTGAAAAACATATTTTTATTTAATTAGGCCGCAATATGCTTATGTCGGTCTTTTTATTGCAAACTTAAATGTATTTTTTATTAGTCACTAAAACTGATGTTTTCCCTCTGAATCAGTATTTAGCTCAATTAATGCCACTATTGTTTCAAGCGATACTGCACTGGCATCGAGTAATCGGTAAAACCGCGATAACGCACTAGAAAGAAGAAAAAACGCTCCTTTCTTCCAGAGATATGAAACTGGCGACTGACTAGTCGTTTAATAAACATCGGAAGTTCTCGTTTGTGCTACTGTAATTTCAATACAATTTCGATACAGTATAGACATTAAAAAAGTAGTAAAAACCCGGCTCAGAACAAAGGGTGCAGTGCTTCAGTGGCTGGTGGTGGTGTTTTCTCCAATTCATTCAGCTTCTAGAACGCTTTTCAATTAATTCACTTTGAATTTGAGAATATTTTATTGTAAAGATCAGCGTTTTTAAACATTCTCTTATCTTCTTAACATTGTTTTTATCAGTAATTTATTTCTTTGATTGACATGTTTGTCGCTGTTGAGCAATTTCACATTCCTCTTCCAATTCGGGTCAGAAAGTTGAATTTCGATGGATTTAATCTCTAATTGTTACGTTATAGAGGACTAATAATAATCTTTTACCTAAAAGAGCACTTTTTAAGAGTGCAGCTGTTAAAATGATAAAGAAATTCGGCCGAACAAAGTCGCAAAGCGATTTGCTGGTCGATCCAAACCCGAAGCCGAAAGAATACTATCCGGCAATGTGCACTTTGAGGCGAAAACCCGTCAAACAATCCTCAAGCGCGATTTATCAAAATCTCAACTCGGAAGGTAAGCAACGCTGCAGCTAAGATGCGTCTATCATCGGCACATCTGTTCCTGTATATTGTTTCGGGTCGAATCTGGTTCATATATTTCGCGATTTTTGCCAATTACACGATATCTAGGCTTATTTTCAATCCGAAATCTGCTTTCCATATTTATATTTATATGTTTTATCTAAGAGCCTATTAATAAAACAATTCATTCACAATTTGTGGTAGTTGGGAACGGAAATGGGTTCGTCATAGCGCTGAGTGTAACCAGTTTGGAATCTCGGACTTTAAAAGAAAAATAATCATATTTTGAAATTTGAAGACACAAATGGCGTCCGAAAAGAGTTTCTTTGGCTCATTTGCAACATTTTGGCCACTTTGTTGCCAATTTGTATATACTTTTCTGACTGTGTTTCAATTCCAAATCAAATTCATTCCTGGGTTTCAGTCATTTATTG